AAGACCTAATGTAACAATGTTCATTTTCAAGTCCATTTAGATTGTTCATGCAATCTTTGTTCAATGACAATAAATGTCACATTAATCAAAACAAAAGATATTGTAGACATCAGATAATTTGGCTATTTTGATAAATTTGCCCCAATATGTGGATAAAAAATAAGAATGTTGTGCAGGTCTAGATATGGGTCAAAAATACTTGAGAAAATATGAGTTTTCAATAATTGTGCCCCTAAATAAGGAATTAAAGAATCTAGATTTCATAAAGAAACTTGGGTGTTTGAAATAGTCTCAACACTTATCAAACTACCATAATTCAGAATCTTTTAGAAAGTGCCTTATGTATTGACTTACAAAGAATTTTCAAAGTGATTTTGTAAATTAATCATCTCTTTCATTACTTACAGCCTTAATGAAGGTCATGGTCTTGATCAAGTAAAATAAGGTTTATGAAAATTAGAAATTCAAAGTTTCTAAGTGGTGTGGTTCTCAACATGAGATGGGTAGTGAAATGACTAGATATGTCTATTCTTGACATTAATCATCAATTCCCTCAAGATTGTTATCACAAAGATTTTCTTCTTTTTTAAAAAAAATCATTTTCTTTAATCAAGGAAAAAATCATGTGGATTTTCATTATCAAACAATTCAAAACTCAAAAGATGGACAAAAACAACTTTTAGTATCTACAAATCCCTTTCAATTCGAGGCAACATGTTGCAATGCTTAAAAAGCTTTTTTCTTTATAAAAAAAATTTAATTAAACTATGTACAAAGTTAAAGACAAAAAAGATTGCTACAAACAAATGAAAATAATATACATACAAAGATGAAAAAAATGTATATGCAAGGAATACATAACGAAAGAACAATCATTGATTTTTAATTAAACAATGCACGAAACTGAAAAGAGCAACGACTGCCCCCAAACAAATGAGATAATGTACATACAAAGATGCTTTCATAAATACAAACAAATGTATCCATTACATAAAGAAAATCAAAATTTTATATTTAAAATTATATACCAAAATTGAAGAGAGCAAATGAAATAATGTATATAATGAAAAATAAGATTCATGTTCAAATAAATTAAAACTAAAAAGAAAAAAAATAGAGTTGCCTTTGATTGATGATCCACATCATTCTTTTATATGCATGGACAAGTAGATGATGTATGTATAAATGCATGTATATAATGAAATAAGAACATGTGATGCAAATAAAAATAAAAAAATTTTAACTTAGAATCTCACATCTTCCCTTTTTAAAGTAAAAAATCTTTTTTAAAAATGCTTTTCATAAATTTAAATTACAACCTACAAATTCCTATCCTAAGTAAAATATGATAAAAATAACATAAAATAATCCAATTAAAACATAATAAACAAAAAAAAGGCAGAACCTACGATATGGGTCAGATTGGGTTGATGCTTGAGAAACTAGAATTGTCGTTAGAATCTAAAAGTATTGTTGAATTCTCCATAAATGCCACCATAATCCAAAAATCTTATCGGAGTCTGGGAATTTTGTTGAAAAATTGTCAAAAACTATAAAAAGCCTAAAATTTGAACTTGAACTATTTAAAACATTTTTGTCTCAAATTCTTCTATGTGATTGTTGTGTGTTGATTATGTTAACTTAAAGGGTATTCATAAGAGCCTAGTCCCAACTTGATAATGACTATAATTCAACTAAAAACTATTTTAAAAATTATCTTCAAAATAATTTTAGAATTTCATCCATATCCTCACCAATTTTTTTCAAAATCAAACTCTTTAGATTTTATCATAACATTATGTATTTGACAAAGAAATTGATCTCGGTACAAAACCCTTAAATTGAATGAATTCCTATCCTTTAAGAAGTCAACCTCACCCACACTTTTTTTAACTTTTTTTAATTTTTATTTTATTTTTTGTTTCAAAAAAATAAAAAAAAAGATAAAACAAAGTAAAGATAATTAAAATATATATAGAGATATCTAAAAAATAAATCACTAAATAAAATAACATATAAAAATAAATGAAAATAAATAATAAAAAACTTAAATAACAGAAGGAAAATTAGGTTTTTAAGCTTAGATCCAAATTGGATCCAAATAATAAAAAATCTATATGTCTCCAAAAGTAATTCCGAAATTTTAAACCTTGGAAAAAAATGAGATGTCTACAATATTTTAACAAAAAATTACATGAAAAACAAGAAATGAAAACCTTTTTAAAAATAAATCACATACCTCCGAAAAAAAAGCTTTTTTTTTTAAAAAAAGGATCCATTGTTTATTCTTATTAGTTGTGTAAATCATTGTAAAAAGAAAAAGAATATAAGAAAAGGAAATTTAAAGGAAGAAAAAGAGTTTTGAATAAAAAAATGAATGAAAAATACATTTAGATGAAGAATTTAAAGATATCTAGAATAGAATGAGTAAAGAAAAGAGTTTTGGATGGAATAAATCTATTATGTTTTTAATTCTGCATCAAATATTTTAAAATATAAATAATTGAATATGTTTTTATCCATTTATTTAAATAGATATTTTTATCCACTTATTTAACTAGAGATTTAAAAATGTATTAAGATGGATATTAATTTCTTAAACCAAAACTCTTAAATAGTAATTCATGCGTACACTTATCAATTTAAACTAATTTGAATATTTTAAATGAATTTAAATAATACTAAATAAAGGAAATTATCATATATCCTTTTATCTTTTTTTTCAAATTAATATTTGAATATTTATTTTCATTTAATGATTAAGTTTAAAAGTTTTTTATATTTGATTATTTTGATAATATTTAATATAATTATTTATTATTATCTTATGTGTCATCCAAAGAAACTATCCACCTAAGCATCCACATATATCTTTGTTTTAATAATCACATATAAAGGAAACTATCATAAATCCTTTTACCTTTTTTTTTTTCAAATTAATATTTGAATATTTATTATCATTTAATGATTAAGTTTAAAAGTTTTTTTTATATTTGACTATTTTGATAATATTTAATATAATTATTTATTATTATATTATATGTCATCCAAAGAAACTATCCACCTAAGCATCCACAAATATCTTTGTTTTAATAATCACATATATTATCAAACAGAAAATACTCTTACAACATTCCCCCAATAATTTAACTTTTTTTTTTTTTTTATCTTGAATGGTTGTTTAAAAGATAACATATTAAATCTTTCAAAATTTATATAAAGAAAATTTTAGTAAATAGGGATCTAAATTTTTAAGTATTTTTATAATATGGTTAATGGTATCTTCATTTTTTGTTTAGATTTAATCCCTTCTTTGAACAATCTTAAAATTGCATTTATTCACATTAGTTTGTTGCATTCAAGAATCTTTAATTTTTTTCCTTTTATTTAAATAATTAAAAGTATCCAGGAATTTTATCTAAATTAAGGATAATAATGAGTTACCATTGAAACAAATATGGCATCTTCGTTCTCATATTCGATTATAATATTTATACACATTTTCGTGCTTGAAAATAACCCAAATATTCTACTATAATTTTTAAAAATTATAAAATAATTAAAAAATCATAAATAGAATCCCGAAAATTAATTAAAAAATTAATTCCATTTTTTACGTAACAAAACCAACAAAACATTTTACAAAAATGAAAAAAAAAAAGTCCTTAAAAGCATACAAAATGGTCTTTAAATAATAATGGTAATTAAAGGAGAAATAAAAAATAATAAAAAAAGGTCTTTGAATATAATATAGTCAAATTATAGTGTTCCTTAAAAGCATAAAAAAATGGGTTGTAAAATATTTTTTGCAATTTATATATTTTTGTAATAAATTTAAAATTTTAATTATAAAAATAAAAGAAAATAAAAAATATATTTTATATATGTTGAGTATCGGATGAATTGATGACGAATATTACCTTATTTGTTTTTTTTTTTTTATTTAAATGTGCTTATATTCAAATTTGATTATCCAATTAATATAACCACTGAAAGCCCGAGCTTTGCTAAGGGAAATAAAAATTTTATATGTTTTTTATCAAAATAAAATATATCCATCAATAAATATAAATAAAATATAAATGAGAATATATATAACAAAATATATGCATATATAATAATATAAATAATAAATAAAAAAATGTAAATGAGAATATATATACACATAACAAAATACATGCATATACAATAAAAATAATAAAATGTAACATTGGTTATTAACCAAATAATGTTAAAAGCGACATGCATAATAAAGTGTGATTGTGAAGTCACTATAATAATTTGTTACAATATTTCTTATGATATTTTAAGAAACATCTTCACTAAAATTCTTTAATTGATGGTTCAAAAATCTAAATCAAATCCATTAAACATTAATCATAATCCTAAATGAATCTCATAAAAAACTAATTAAGGTCTCGAATACCTAAATTAAAATTAGTTAAAGGTCTAAACAATTAACCCTTAAAATAATAAAATAACCCAATGAACCTAAAAACATATTTTAAAAATCAAAAGTGATCTTAAATTATATAATTAAAAATCTTAATTATCCTCAAAATCATATTTTATACATCTTAGTTGGCACAAAATTATGCACCAAAATCCCAAATGACTATTATATTAAGTTGGGATAACTCAAATAAATTATTTAAAGTTAATTAAAATTCTAAATAACCCCTAAAAAAAATAAAATAGCACAATTGGCCCAAAAACATATGTTAAAAGTCAAAAATGATTTTAAATTATATAATTAAAAACCCCCAATTACCCTTCAAATCATATTTTATACCAAATCTTAGTTGGGTTTGTATAGTGAGAATAACTTTAATATATTTTATAGATTAGATTACAAAATTCTCTTCATATTTGTGTCCCTCTCTAATCAGAGAACGGATAACGCTCCGGGTTTTAACCAAATCAAATAAGTTTTGACAAAAAAAAAAAAAATCAAATTAATTATAACGGGCTTTTAGGAAAGGTTAGGCCTTGCACAGCACATATAGTCCATAAAGTGTGCTCCACCCAAATGGAATCTTTCCTTTATATTTATTCTTCACTTGGTATTCTGGTAAAGGAATCTTTGGCCTAGTTTCATGTCTTGAAGTTGAATACAAACAACAAAACCATAAAATAAAGAAAGATAGAAAGAAAGAAACGGCAACAGAGAGACAGAGATAAAGAGAAGATGGGAGTAACAAAGGAACAAGTTGAATCTTCATTGACTTCAAAATTGAAGCCTTCTCATCTGGTATCTTCACCTCTATTTCAGCTTCTTTACTTTTTGTCCTTCTATTCCATTCACATTTATATATTTAACGTAAAGGTGGAAATTTTGAGCAACCTGCAACTGGGTTGTTTTTATTTTCCTGTTTTCAATTGATTTTAGGTTAAACCATGTAATTGTAAAGTAAAGGGGCTTTTTTTTTTTTTTTTTGCTTCCTAATCATGTTTCCTCAAATATAATAAACCCATGAACATGCTTTAGCTATTTGCTTTTTGCTTTGGAAGAAATTTTTTTTTTTGAAGAATTAAAGATTAAAAGTGTGTTTCTATTTTTAGAACAAAATTCATGATGTTACTTTTATGTAGTACAATTATTTTCTGTTTGTTAATATGAATAAGTGAAAATAAAATTGTGCGAAATGCAAGGGGATATGGGTAGAACTTCAACTTTTGGTTGAATACTTGTGGAAAAGAAAGGTTTGAATAGATGAGAAATTGAGAATCATGCTGTCACTCGTCAAATGTCTGAGAAATAATCATTTCTTTCTAGCTTCGAGGAGATTGCGGTGGAAATATCTTCATCCTTTTGGAATGATTGCTCTAATTTAGGCTTGTAACCTAGATTCTATCTCTGGGGTACATGTACTTGTTTCTCACAAGGCAACTCAGCTATCATTTGCTGCTCTCCGGGGGCCCTAGTTCATTATTTATATGTAACCATTAGTGTGTCTTCCCATGTTTATACAGAAAGCTTTGTGATGAAAATGGTTTTGAAATTAATCTTAATTTTACAGCTACTTGGACCCGGTTTTGAGTGATGTCAAGAATGGTACCCTATAATATTGGCTTTGGTTTCACTTGAGGGGAGAAAATCAAAAGCTAATTTTCCTTTTTGTTTCTAAAAGGTTTGACAGTAACATTTGTAAAAGTCAGGTTAAGTATTCAAGACTTAATGTTTAAATACACTGGTAGTCATTTATGAGGAGTAATGATGCCTGTCTAGTCTCTAGTTGATATATCCTCAAGCATGATTGTCTGAGTTTGATGAGAATTAAACTTTTTTTCATTGTTGCCTGATATGATTATGAAGACTGTAAGATCGTTTATTTGCAATTCTTTCGTTGGCCCTACTTTCATTGCTAGAACATGGTAGTAGTTTCCAGTCTATTCGAAAGCATCTGATAAGAAGCTTAACAAAGTATCCTGCATGCTTTTTGAAATTCTGTATCTTTCTGACTAGGATCCGGATGAACATTATGGACCAACTTATAGAAGAAAGTTACTGGTCATTTTCCAAATAGGTTTATATACAGTGTTTGTTTTGCTGGAAAAGATTAATTGTTTTTAATGGTGTTTGCTATTCATCACCTCATTTAGATTGTATTATCCTCTTTGAAGTGTCACCTGTCCTTTTTTTTGTTTCTTTTGTGCATTATGAGGGATGTCTTCCATAAGAACATAGCTCCATGTTCCCAAATGATTTTGAACTCATGACTTCATCCTTCATCTGATTCATTTGGAATGAGGATTTGGCCTGAAGGTCGTTGATATCTAATGGCATTAGTATCCTTTTTCCCTATGAATATAATTGGAGTATGAGATTACATGTTCGATCAAACATGACAACTTCATTGCCTGGAAGGTACTTGAACTTGACAGCTTCTTTGCCTGGCAGGGTTCCCTTCCGAACCAGTTAGTCTTAGTTCCTTGTTGAAATTTCCTGATCAGTTTTGTTTATGCAATTGCTATTTGCTAGAAATCTAACTGCATTTTAACTGGGAATGAAACCCAACTTTATTATTATTATTTTTTTAAATTACTTTCACATGCATTTTATTTATTACTTAGACTGGCAAAAGCCTTCCTAAAAATTGTTTTCTATTTTGATACCTGTAAGTCTGATGCTATTTTCACGTAGACTCATTTTTTTTACTTGTGTGTTTCAGGAAGTAATTGATACATCAGGAGGGTGAGCTTTATTCTGAACGTGTCTTATTTGAATTTCTTCACTAATGCATCCTTCTTTTTGAAATTTTATGATGAGTTTTCTTTTTGAATCAGGTGTGGTGCAAGTTTTGCAATTGAGATTGTATCAGAACAATTCCAAGGGAAGAGGCTTCTGGAGAGGCATAGAATAGTGAATGCTGCTCTTGAAGAGGAGATGAAGCAAATCCATGCTTTATCAATAAAGAAAGTTCTCACCCCCGAGCAGTGGAAACAACAGCAAGAAGCTGAAAACTCTAAACCAGATGCTTAGAAAGATGCTCAAGGAATTCAGACATTTAAATAAGAGTTCATTTAGCCACTTGAATTCAAATAATTGGGTTTATGGCTTACTGGGGATGGGTTGAAAACTATCTATTTGACATGCTAAAATAATGGAAGCTCGACATGCTAAAAGAGTTGCAAGGAGTTGGCCCAAAGAAGATTGTCATTCTTCTTTTTCCTAATCTAAAAGGCCCCAACACCAAAAAATAAAAGCTCTGGTTTAGTGTTGACTGTCTTTGATTAAAGAATGAAGATATATTGACTTTAATAATGCATGACTCTTAGTCTTTGTTACGGATATGCATCTCGAAGTTGGGTTACTCACCTTTCTGTTTGACAAGGTTTTGGATTTGGATTGTTTTTTTCTCATTGCAAAGTATAAATTGCCAATATTAGCATCTTAATATTTGAAAATATAGCCTCTAATCTCAAAATAAGTTGAGAGTAGATATGAAAATATTAAATATGATATAATGATATGATATAAAAATAATATAAATAATATTAAAAAGATTATATACGGGTTTGATAAAAATTAAAAGAATATATTTTATTTTTGGTGTATGGACTTAAATTCGAGATAATAATTTTGATATTTTATGTGTATTTAATATGAAATAAATATAATAAAAATATATAAATGATAGGGTCAAAATCTAAAACAAACCAAAAAAAAAAAAAAAGGAAAATTAAATGACAACCGTACACATACATAATGGCGACAGCAAGTTCAAACCTATCAATTAACTAGTCGGCAGGTCTCATTCCAGCTAAACTTGACATCGCCCTCGGCTACTGGCCGTGACCTTGGCTTCTTTGTCTCTCCAAAACACAAGAGAAGCAAAACCTTTTGCACCAATGACTGCTTTCATTTCCAACAAGCTAATCCAACCTACGAGCCAAGCTCCCCAAGTGGTTCCTCGGATATCCAAAATCAAAGAAAGGATGAAAACTTGCAGAGTGGTCTCAACCACATATTCCTTGACTAAGAGCAATAGATTCAGGCCCAGTTATACCACCAAAGTTGCTGAACAGAACGCCGGATTTGTCGGTGACGAAGAAGTACAAGAAGAGTTTAAAACACTTTCTCATCTCAAAACTAAACTCTTCCAGGAAGCCAAAGGTAAGGGCCATTGGAATTTTCAGTCCATCTTTTTCTTATATTTAACTCTTCTTTACATAAAAGAATAACATGGTGAAGAATTTTGAGGTAAAGATTGAAAAACTTGTTGTATTTATGTATTTATTCAAAGGAATCAATAGAGGGATTTTTGGAGTACCATCTTCAAAGAAATCTGATATTGAAACTCTGGTGAAGCTGCTAGAATCTCAGAATCCAACTCCAGATCCTACCTTGAATCTAGAAAAGGTAAAATTTCTGTTGTATTCTATTTATGGAAGTAAACTAAAGGATATAGTTACAGTTTTGTTTCTATAAATGGAATGAAGGTGGGTGGCTGCTGGAAGCTTGTTTACGGTACAATTACAATCTTGGGTTCAAAGAGAACAAAGCTGGGATTGAGAGATTTCATCACCTTGGGAGAATTTTTCCAGACCATTGATGTTGAAAAGGTATATATATGAATTTATGATGAGATTTTCTTACTGTGAAAGTAACGAGTTCATTTACTACATTTCTTCTCCAATTTCAAGAATTTGAGAAATTTCAGGGACTTATATCCAGTCATATTACTGAATTTAAACACTGGTGTGCCTTTTCTATATGAAACGGTGTTTGTAATGTGGTTTGCCTTTTACTAAACTTTAACATTTGGTCATGGAAAAATGGAGAGCAAAGCAGTTAACGTGATCAAATTCAGTGCCAGAGGATTGAAATTGTTAAATGGGAAGCTGACAATTGAAGCTTCCTTCAAGATCACGTCCAAATCAGTTAAAGCTCCAACTCACTTTCTGCCTTTTCCTTTAACAATATGTTCAACAAACATATAAATCATGATGGAACCGTTTTCTGTCTCAAAATCTGCAGAGAGTTGATATAAATTATGAGAACTCAACCATAACTCCTGACCAGGCAAGCTGCAAAATTTTTTATTGCCACTTTAGCGGATGAATACTCAATTTATCACTCTCTTAACTTCAAATTGAATTTGTTTTTCTTTGTTTGAGAACCATAGCTGATGAATGTCTTCCAAAAAAATTATGATCTTTTGCTTGGTACCTTCAATCCAGAGGGGTGGCTGGAGATCACGTATCCTTTCATAGTACTATGATACATTGCAATTGATTTACTCACCCAACATTTTACTAGATCTTTGAGATTGGCATGGTAGACGCTGCAGAAAGTGGTTGGTCCTTTACTTGGTTTGAACACTGCAGATATGTAGATGAAACCATGAGGATAGGGAGAGATGACAAAGGGAATATCTTCATATTAGAAAGATCAGAAGAAGCCACAGTCTAGACATCAATTTCTTGACATAAATTCTATTGTTAACTTTAAGCTTTTCAACATTTAATTTCACACAAGCTCCAATTTTGCTGAATTCAGTTGAAATTTCTGATATATATCACTTTGTTTTCTATGTTTGAGAATGGGTAGAAAATTCAAAATGGGTTTTTTTTTACATGGTGTAAGTTCCCAAGGGCATCATCAGGGTTTAGTCGGGAGAGTTTGTCAGCCTATGCGTTTAATTTCACATAGAATGTTTATTAGAATGATCTTCAGTTTCAATAGAAGGATGATTGTTTTATATATATATATATATATATATATATATATATATATATATATAAATCAACTAAACTATGTTATAAATTTTCAAATATTTTATTTAAACTATACATAAAAATGTCAATCTCATCTATACACAATAGAACCTGATTTTTTAGGAATGGATATTACATTATGAGTATGAAAATAAATATGTTTTTTAAATTTTTATTCGGTGTAAAGATTGGGACAGGTAATATAATACCCGTCTTGTACCTATATTTTACATATGTATATTTATATATTTTTAGTAAATAATTTTTTATTAAATAATATAAATTTTTATTTTAGATTAATTAAAATTAATATATTTTTATTAAAAAATAAATATTAATATATATTTATAAAAAATTATCTAAATATATCAAATAAAAATAAAAAAACTTAAAAATAAATTTTGGTTTTTATTTTTTAAAAAATTATATGTAAAGAGATTATTTATACTTATTAAATAATCATAGAATCGAGATAAAATAAATTTAAAATATTCCTTGAACGTAAATATAGATATGAGGATGAGAGTAAATATAATATAAAAGCTTAGAAGATAAAGATATAAAATACTCTACTCATTCCTTACCTATTAATATTTCTAACTCAAATAAATTCACAAGGTACGGCTTCTAAATAAAAGGAAAAAAATGGCTGAAAAGAATCCAGTTGAAAATTTACAAAGGATCAGATTTCCCAAATGGATATACAGCTACCTTACCATTGACATTTGACACGTAGTATCTCAACACAATTATAGGTACTAAAAATTCTATTTCCATAAAACTCACAATTCAATCTGAACTTCTGCTTTTTTTGTTTGTTTCCTTGAAATAGTCTGTTTCTTTTTGTTACTTCAGCAAATAAATTTCATATTTCATCAATCAAAAAAAAAAATGTTTCTTACTGTTTTAAGGTAGCAAATAAACGTATCTTTTCCAATCTTGAATATATATATATATATATATATATAAACAGATCTATTTACATTAATATAATTCTTACACTTTATTATTGAATTAAAATTAAATCCATAATTAATTTGTAAACCAGTTTCTTTTTCACTTTTTAATCAGTCACACCTCAAAGCCTAAAAACAAATATGAAGCTTGTTAGGAAATTTGGGTAGGCTGCCACGTTTCTATAATTGGAGGTGACAATCGGGCTGGTCATGTAGGTTTTTAGTCATTTTTATTTAAATAATTGGGATATGACGTTCAAGTTGTTCATGTTTATAGTTTCAATCGAAATTATTAAATTTTAAAACTAAATCAATTAATTTAAATCATTTTGAATTAAATTTTTTTAATCGTTGAAGATTGAAGTTTAAGTTTGAATAATTTCATGTTTAAATTAATTTAAATTTAAATTATTTTGAATTTAAATTGTTTCATTTAAACAATTTTTTAATATAATTTGATTGACCATTTAAATAATTTTTTTAATCTAATCAGATTTAATCAAATTTGAATTTGAATGAACAAATTTTTTGAGTCGGAATAATTTTATCCACTGTTAAACTCAAAGCAGTCGCACGTCTGGCAATGAAATGGAGGAGACCAACTATCGAGGCCATAGGGCATTGGACATTGTTATGGGCCATTGATCGGTCTTGATAAGTATTTGGTATATATTTAAAGGAGGCCCATGCTCATCTTGGATGAAGCAAAACTATAGAGCAATGCTTTGACATTTTGTAGGTTTTGTCGTGAAAGGAACCACTTTAACTTGTTACTTCTACTACCATATATGAGTCCCTTCAATCTTAACAAACTATTTCACTTGACTTGTTATTATGTTGGTGGTAAGACCATTCTGAATCTGGTATTTGTCCAAACAATTCATCACTTGATTATCCTGATTGAGACTTCTTCAATAACAAGTCTTCTCGCCAAACATGAAGCTCAACCGATAAGATCTCATCAATTCTAAGCATGTTTTCCATAGTTAACAATTTGCTCCAACAAATAGGGTTTAAAGGCAAACATGAAGCTCAACCAATAAGATCTTATCAATTCTAGGCATGTTTTTGATGACTTAACAATTTGTTCTTTTAAAGCAGTCATAAAAAAAAAATTTTTGCCTTAATTCTTTTTTTTCATTTTTTTATATATTTTTTTATTTTTTTTCTACATTTATATTTAAAATTTACAAACAACAATGTATCTAACAAATATACTCCGCTCACAAGTTTGGCACTTCATTGCATTCAAATAATGGATTTTTTTTAAAAATTTATTGTGATACAATAAGTTTTTTTATTGTACTTATATAGAAAAAAAAAACATTGGAATGAATAAGACACGAGATGATTTACAAATTTTCACTTATTTTATTTTTACATTTTTATCTAATGGTTTTATTTGAAATTTTCGTTTATTTTTATTTTATTTCAAACTTAAAAAGAAACTCAATAAACATGTCCACACAAAACAGCATTTCAATCACCAACTCATGCATACCAAGGTTTAAAATGAAAAACAAGAAATTATATAAAAACCAAATAACTTACAAAACAGTAAAACAACATTTTAATCACCAACTCATGTATATTAAGGTCTAAAAATGAATAACAAGAAATGATATAAAAATCAAATAACTTTAAAATCAGGATTGATTTTTGAAACTAGGATTGGTAAAAGGTATTAGACAATTAATAGCTATGAAAAACCAAATAACTTTGAAAGAGGGATTGGTTTTTGAAACTAGGATTGGTAAAGGTATTAGACAGTTAATACATTTTCAAAAATTAATGTATACTGCTTAAAATGACGAGCACACGGTATTCTTTAGTAAAAGGCGAAAGAATAGTTCATTTTGTGCTCATCACACGGCTCCATGAGTAATAAATCGATACACGCTGCTTCATAAGCTCGAGGCGAAGCTACTACTTGCTTTCTCAATTTGATGTGGGACTTCATTTTAGATCTTTGATTTCAATCATTTACTCTTTTTATACACTTGTTCTCTTTTCATCTTCATCTAAGGTTGTAAAATAGAATAAAAACTAAAAAATCTATTCGAACTACAATGTTTTGGTTAAGAAATTAGATTATGTTTTTTGTACATATCTAGTTATGTTCAATATTAGACATAACTACTCTTGTTTTTCTTGTTTTTAGACTTTAGTATGTACTTGATTTTTGAAGTCTCAACCTCTTAAGCGTAGTTTTGTTACATTGATTTGGTTTGACGAATTCATGTCACACAAGATGTGATAATATTGGTTAGAGGTGGCATAATATTTATAACATAACATCTATAATTTATAATCTATAACTTATTATTAAAAGTAGCCTTTCAATTAATATTGCTTATGCGTCATTTAGAAAGTATCCAATTTTACGCCATTTATTAGTTTTTCATTGGTTGTTTTATAATTAATGTTGTTTATGCATCATTTAAAAGGCATCCAATTTTATGCCATTTATTATTTTTTCATTGGTTGTTTTATAAATTATATTTATTTTTATTATATGGGGTCTTTTAACTGCATCCCACCTTTTTTCTCTCTATATCTCTTTTTTTTTCAAAATTTTTTTATAAATAAAATTACTTAAATACCTTTCTTATAGATTTTCGGATATCCACCATTTTCGAAAAATCATAACACTTCTCGAAAATACATTTTTAAAAAATGACTTCTCAAAGATGCATTTTCGAAAGTGGAAAAGTGAATAAAAGATTACAAACAAAAAAAAAGAATTTTGTTAAAATTATTTTAAAATCAATATAATGAAAAAAATTATTATTAAAAAAATATAAATTTTAAAATTAATTTTAAAAAAGTTACTTTTATTGTTATGAGTTTAGATGTGTACATGGGCATCTACAATTTTGAATTAATTAAGCACCCTGAAATCTTAATGAAGATAATCATCCACCTAATTGTTGAAAATGCAAGCGAGGTCTTTAAACCATTGGTCGATAAGAGTATAATCAGTTGAGTTAAATCATAAGCTTGGTCAGCATCCCTAAATATGATGATTATATATACTTGTTGGATGTTTTGATGAGGTTTCAACGAGTAAAAAAGTAGAGAAAAATCACCACTGTTATGTTTTTAGCCTCATATGAATTTGAGAATCGATAAGAAAGGAGTTGGAAGAATTGGCACTAACTCAAAGTTAGAGATTTTCCTTGAGTAGTATTTTATGCTTATTAATAAAGAGGCAATATAAGTAATACTATTAAATACTACATAATTTTATCAAAATCTAATATATTAATTGAAAAACTCATCGTGATAAATAGACTGGGAGATTTTTTCAAGAAATTCAATTTAATTAAAGCTATTATAAAATTTTAATAATTGATACAAAAAATATTTATTAAAAATGATAAATTTTAAATTTACAAAATATTATATTTGTTATTTTATCTTTAATTTAATTAGAGTCTCATAAGATATTATTCTTTTTCTAAGATGAAAATAATAAAAATAATTTTTTTATTAATTTTAAAATTTATTATTTTTAATAATAACTTTTTTATTATGCTTATTTGCAAATAATTTTAACAAAATTTATTTTTTTAAATTTTCATAAAATTTCACTCTCATAAATACATTTTTTAAAATAAATTTTGAATAGTTATAAAATTTATGATAAGAGTATTTTAATAATTTACCTTAAAAAATTATGAAAAATTAGGTGTATAGAAAAAAAAAAGATGTAATTAAGGTTTTCCCAATAATTAAGTTGAAGAAAGAAGAAGCTTCTAAAAACGTTAAAACATACGCAAAAACAGGAGAAAGAAGAGAGAAAGGGGATCCAAGCAGGGGAAGGAAAAAGAAAGAGATGAGAGACAGAGAAAGAGAGAGAAAAAAAAAAAAAAAGATGAGAATTCTAGAGACAGCCAATGACTTTAGAATCAAAGGAGAAAGGGAAAGAAAGAAAGAGATGCGAGAAGAACAATCTAGAGGTTCGAACACACCCAAAAATCCCACATCTTCTTCACTC